TGATTAAAAAGATGGATTTGCATCGTAACGGCTCTGATGAGACGTGAACATTCCTGTAACGAGTCGTGATGAACTAGTGCAGAATATTAAATACCGGTGTCTGAGCCAGTGTCCTGTCCAGCTGGGGAATCATCCCACCTAAATGAGGAGCATTTTTTAACACAATTTACACTATTAATTCTGAGAAGCAGGCACAGGATCTGACAATTTTTTTATTATTCAGTCACGCTCATATCTCATGTAAATAAGGCACATATTTCCAGCAAAGTCTGTGTCGTCTTAATCAAACTTAAATCATTCTAACAATAAAAGACTACAGCTAAACTTTTTGCAGGTTATAGCAGTAAGAAAGAAGTAGAAGTGTAAAAGCCTTTGCTTTGGATTACTTGAGCACATCACTAGTCCCTCACTTCTCTGATCTCTCACTTCTACCTCACTTCACTTTACTGATTGTAGTGGGTTTTTTAGCCGTACTGTAACTTCACCACGGACTTTTTAGAGATGTTCAGATTATTTCAGTGTTTCTGCTGCACAAGTGCCTCAGATACTTCACAAAAGTCTATTCATTTGAACAAATGTTGCTAATGTTAAAACATAAAACCTTATTGTAAAGTGTTAACATGTTAAACTTGATACTAAAGTACCCACATTGTAAAATAAATGATATGACACCAAGGGGTTCCTTGTACAACACTATACATGACTTATATTTACACTGTATCGAGTTAAAAATTACTCTGATCTACTCTGATATATATATATATATATATATATATATATATATATATATATATATATATACATACATACATACATACACACACACACGCACTCTCACACACACACACACGCACACACACACACACACACACACACACACACCCCGGCCACTTTATTGTGTACACCTTTCCAACTGCTTGTTAATGTAAACTTCTAATTATCCAATCACATGGCAGCAACTCAATGCATTTAGGCATGTAGACATGGCCAGGACGATCTGCCGCAGTTCAAACTGAGCATTAGAATGGGGAGGAAAAGTGATTAAAGTGATTAAAGTTGCATGGTTGTTGGTGTCAGATTGGCTGGAGTATTTCAGAAACTGCTGATCAACTGGAATTTTCACGCACAACCATCTCTAGGGTTTACAGAGAATGGTCCGACAAAAAGAAAATATCTAGTGAGTGGCAGTTCTGTGGACGCTAATGTCTTGTTGATGCCAGTGGTCAGAGGAGAATGGCCAGACTGGTTTCTGCTGGTAGAAAGTACCAATCGACCATTGTATCAACACCACAACCTACCCAAGTACCGTTGCTGATCATGTTTATCCCTTTATGACCACAGTGTACACATGTTCTGATGGCTACTTCTGGTAGGATAACGCGCCATGTCATAAAGCTTGAATCATCTTAGACTGGTTTCTTGAACATAGCAATGAGTTCTCTGTACTCAAATGGTCTTCACATTCACCAGTTCTCAATACAATAGAGCACCTTTGGGATGTGGTGGAACAGGAGATTCACATCATGGATGTGCAACCAACAAATCTACAGCAACTGTGCAATGCTATCATGTTAATATGGATCAAAATCTCTAAATAATATTTCCAGTAGTTTGTAGAATCTATGCCACAAAGAATTTAGGCAGTTCTGAAGGCAAAAGAGGGCCCAACCTGGTACTAATAATAGTATATATATATATATATATATATATATATATATATATATATATATATATATGAACATATATAAAAAAGTAAACAACCAATTTTGAAAACTATCTGTAAAATGCAAATATAAACTTCTATGTCATATATGTAATTTGCATATTTTCAATAGATCAGATTTCATATGAAATGAATTGATATCAAATCAAATAAAACATGAAATCTATGTCAATTCCCAGCCGTACAGTAGCACTTCTCAGTAAAATGTCTGTTATCTAACACACCTGATTGATTTCACCGCTTCATTAGTGGAGTGCTCCATGACCTGAATTGGGTGTGTCAGATTTTTTTAGACACCTGAAATGTGCAGGATTGTCAATGTCTCATTTTGCGGGGGCCACAGCACATAATCGGCGTTAAATGAAGTCCTTGCCTCCCCCCTCCTGATCTCTGTATCTCTCCTCCTGTGCTTAACTTCATTTGACTAAAACCCCTCTTATCCTCGCAGATAATCTGTCAAATGGTTCATTCATTCATCCATCTACCTGTTGTTCGCACACCCCTACGGCTCTCCCACATGCCGAGACCTCGCCTGCCTTCTGCGCATTAGCTGACGAGACACAATCGCTGCTCCACTTTCTCTGCTATAAAAAGCGTCGGCGTCGATCTGGGTTTATCAGTCACTGGGTGAACCGTTTTTAGGACCGAGCAACCAATCATGATGAAACCAACAGCAGGCGTCGACATTCGCTCTAGACAAATGATGTAATAGCGCAGATAATTCACTAGCACATTTTGTTGTCAAAGTCAGAGTGCTCTTTGGACGTGTGAACTAGCATGCTAACACTCATTTGAGAAAATGGATAAATAACTTTGCTATTGTTTTAGTCACATTCCAATAAAGGCTTTTCTCACTTGAAGGTTTTGTCATGTTTTTAGTGCAATTATCAAAGGATTCTTAAATCAGAAGCATTTTTTAGACGAGAAAATGGTCTTGTTTTCAAAAAAAGTACAAATTATTAGAAGTTTTGTCTTGGTTTTAGTCCTAATATCTAAATATTCTTAAATCAAGAAGCATTTTATAGACAAGTAGAAATTGTCTTGTTTTTAGAAAAAACAAACTGCCAGTGGCGGAACGGTGGTTAGCACTGTCACCTCACAGCAAAAAGGTTGATGGTTTGAGTCCCAGGTGGGTCAGTTGGCATTTCTGTGTGGAGTTTGCATGTTCTCCCCATGTTGAACCCTACGTAAAGGCACATGAAGTAAAAAACAGATGATGTTTAAGTAGAATATCTAATAATTATTTATAAGTGAGAAAAAATAAATCTGTGGACATTTGTTGTATATGATATGCACAAACGTTCAAAAGTTTGTCGTCAATAAATAAATAAATTAGTACTGGTGGAAGGGGGGATTCTTCAAAACGAAGATGGCTGTCATTTGGAAATTAGGGTATTTATAATGGCTCAAGAATTGTTGGATTGGTGAATCATAAATTGAATAATGCGGGGCCGACTGCAAGCAATCACAAGCATGTGATCCATTAGGTTATAAATAAACTTCACTTATTAAGATATATTGCATTATTACTGCAATACAACTGATGTACTACAATACAATCAACAGCAGTACATCTACTGCAATACAACTGAAATACTACTACAGTACAACTGCAGTAAAGCTACTTTTCCTGCTCGATGTACAATGGTTTCCAAATGAGGTTTCAGTACTTCAGTTGTATTGCTGAAGTAAAACCACAATATATTGTTTTGCACTTTTCAGAAGTAACAACAGAAATACATCTAACACTGTAATATCTAAAAAAAAACTAAAGTGCACTTTTAATACTTTTGTACCTAGGATTAATAAATGATTTAACATGTATTGCAGTAGCAGTATTGCATTATAGTAGTAGTATCACTTTAGTACTGTTGCAGTAGTTGTACTGCATTTGTGCTGTAGTAATACTTCAGTTGTATTGCAATAGTTGTACTGCAGTTGGTTGTATTGTAATACTGCAATATATTTAAATTTCGTGCCCAAAAAAATTCACTTTTCAGAAATTAACTACAACTGCAGTATTCCTTTAAGGAACTGCGGTATTCTTAAAAAAAAAAAAAAACTGCAGTAATTTTTTGTAAGGGGACAAAACATTGCTGCAACACTGATACAAGTTTTGGATTTGCGTGATTTGTTGACAACTGGGCTGCGGATCCATTCCTTGGCAGTTCATGGGTCATTCACTGGGCCTTCTGCCCTTTGCAAAAAAAAAAAAAACTTTCCAAAGACGTCTGTCTCTTTCTCATTTTGCTGCTTGTTGGTTAAATTTTGGCGCTCTGAGATGTAACCGTGAGAATGCAGTCATTTTTCAAAATAAAAGATTTTTCAATGTAAAAGATTGTTTACATTTACATTTAGTCATTTAGCAGACGCTTTTATCCAAAGCGACTTACAAATGAGGACAAGGAAGCAATTTACACAACTATAAGAGCAACAATGAATAAGTGCAATAGGCAAGTTTCAGGTCTGTGAAAGTCTAAGAAGGAAAGTATTAGTAGTATTAGTATTATATATATTTTTTTTGGGGGAGGGGTACAGTTAGTGTGATATCCAGAGAGGCAATTGCAGATTAGGAAGTGAAGTGGAGACTAAATAGTTTTTAGTCGTTTCTTGAAAATAGCGAGTGACTCTGCCGTTCTTATGCAGTGGTTTCCACCAACTGAGCAGATTGAGCGTGAGTGTTCGCGAAAGTGACTTCTTCCCTCTTTAGGATGGAACCACGAGGCGACGTTCATTCACAGAACGCAAGTTTCTGGGGGGCACATAAATCTGCAGAAGTGAGAGCAGATAAGAAGGAGCAAGGCCAGAAGTCACTTTAGACTCAGATAATAATTAAATTTAATCAATGATTTGTTTTGTGTGGTCTGTAGCCCGGGGGTTGAGGTCCATTGATCTATATTACAAATCAATACAACAACAAACTAAAACAAAATAATGCAACTCACCATAATGTTTAATGTGTGCACTGAGCTTGTTTACCGGGACATAGTGTAGCTCCTCTCCTGTTTGAAAAAAACTGCAAATAGAGTTTTGCTTTCAGGTCTGCCATTGAAAGTGGTTGAGTTTAAATGAAAAGCAAATGAGAAGCATCTTGAATGATTTGCTTTCTTGCAACTCTTTCACGACCCACTACTGGGCTGCCAACTGGGGGTTGGGGACCCCTAATATGTCATGAGTAGTTTACTGTTTTTTAACCCTTTAGCAAGAAGGATCTCAGATGGACCAGCTCACTTTAACAGTAAATGTACTGTAATTCTCCTCTTGTTCCTTCTTTCAGATCCCTCAGATCAGTTACGCCTCTACAGCACCAGAGCTGAGCGACAACAACCGCTACGACTTCTTTTCTCGCGTGGTGCCACCAGACTCATACCAGGCCCAGGCCATGGTGGACATTGTGAAAGCGATGGGCTGGAACTACGTATCCACTTTAGCCTCTGAGGGAAATTATGGTGAAAGCGGTGTGGATGCCTTCGTCCAGATCTCTAGAGAGACAGGTACAGTATCTACACCAGTGTTTCCCATTAGGTTTACATTTCTGGGTGAGGGCAGGGTCTTACTACCTAAAATGATTTTAAAAATGTGCAACATACCATATATAAATAAATGAATGTATAAATGAATTAACAAAACTAATTATAAGCATTCTATCCTGTACTTATGGAATTAAATTCCTTTGTTTACCACTTTTCTATATGCAGTAAGTAAAACTGAGCTGCTTTTTGTTTTGTGTTCTCACAATAAATCAGATGAGCCATTAATAGTCTGATGGTATCAAGAAGCCTAAAAACTAAAAAAGAGATGTGCATCTATCAGAAGTTTTGCGATTGATGAGCACATGTCACTCCGCTGCTAGTCCGTTTGCACTGGCTGCCAGTTGCTGCTCGCATCAAATTCAAAACTCTGATGTTTGCCTACAAAGTGACTTCTGGCCTAGCACCTTCTTATCTGCACTCACTTCTGCAGATCTATGTGCCCTCCAGAAACTTGCGTTCTGTGAATGAACGTCGCCTCGTGGTTCCATCCCAAAGAGGGAAAAAATCACTTTCGCGAACGCTCACGCTCAATCTGCTCAGTTGGTGGAATGAACTCCCTAACTGCATCAGAACAGCAGAGTCACTCGCTATTTTCAAGAAACGACTAAAAACTCAACTATTTAGTCTCAACTTCACTTCCTAATCTGTAATTGCCTCTTTGAATATCACACTAACTGTACAAAAAAAAAAAAAAAAAAAAAAAAACTACTAATACTTCCCTTCTTAGACTTTACAGACCTGAAACTTGCCTTTAGTACTTATTCATTGTTGCTCTTAGTTGTGTAAATTGCTTCCTTGTCCTCATTTGTAAGTCGCTTTGGATAAAAGCGTCTGCTAAATGACTAAATGTAAATGTAAATGTAGTTCAAACAGGCTTTGGCTGAATGCGTGCTGTGATAACATCACAATGTGGGTTACACACTGGACGAAAAGCGCAACACTGCACCAAATAGTGGGGTTTATTTACTATTGCCTGGCTCTGCAGATATTTTTTTCTGATTTATATCTGCTTGATGCAACATATTGCATGCCATGTTTCTTCACATTGCACATGAAATTTCACTGCATGTGATATACAGAGAGCAGACAGAAATGACGTGCTGTCATGTCCATAAGCTAAATAACATGAGGCTCTTTTGTTTGTTTAATAACAGAACAAAGTGAAGGCCTGGTGGCTGTTTCATAAAACTGGTTAGGAAAAAACAAGGATTAAAGTCAAAAACCCGACTTCAATGAGCCGAACTAAACATCCATGCTTAAATTGGTTCCAGAACAGCAAGTTAAAGATCATTTGATCTAACTAATCTAAGTTCAGTTTAAATAATCTAGATAACTGCTCGTGCACATTACTGTCGTGAAACCTAGGAGGTCGAGCATAGATGCATCGATTATGTTGTGCGCTACCATGACAACTATGAGAACTGAAAGAGCTCTGAAATGAGACGCAGCTGTTCACAGCGAGTGAGCCGCGTTCAAACATAAAATAATATTAACAAAATAATCTAAAACTACAGCTTGCAACAAAGCAAGAGAGAAGGCTGACATGAAATTGCAGATCGTCTCAGTTAAAAATAGACCATTATATAGGCCTATTAACGCTAAATTAAATATTTGTCGCAATACATGGAAATTGTGCTTGACTGCGCGCACATGCAAAAGAGAGAGAGCTAGAAGGAATACGCGATTTCTGCCTGTTGCTTGCTAGGTTTTAATGCATTGCAGACTAACAGTAACATACAAAATGTGCTTAACGTCAGCACATTGAGTTTAAAATAATGGCAACAAAAAGCCGTGCACGCACAAGCGGTGGGATTTTTAATTTGCTATCGAAACTGCTGCAGAATGCTACTTTCCCTTTAACACGTGTGTTTCCCGAGGGTTGTGGGAAAATATCCAACCCAGGCTCATTTTGGAAAGGTAGCCCCGCGGAAGTTTCTAGAGGCTGCGAAATACCTCCCGGGAGGTACGTATTCGTGCCGTTTTTGTTTTCGCAAATCTGCGAGAGGCCTTTATGAGCGCTTTTTCGAGTCTCTCCCGCACTGTTCTCACGTAAAAAGCTGCTGGAGGCCGATGTCGAGCGACTGTCTGTTCAACTGACTGACTGGCTGAATGACTGACTGGGCGGATGGCCAATCGGCCGACCCGGCCACCCTCCTCATTCTCTTTCTTTCCTAAACCCAAGCAACGATTTACGAAAGATGCGCAGAAAAAGAAAAGCCCTTGTCCGATTTTGACCGCTTTTTCGAATTTCACCGAATTCTCGCCTGTTACGAACTTGCTCGCTTTATTTTTTGGATTCTGTTTTTTGTCTTACCTGATTTCTGGAACCACTCTTCCTCGGACTCGAACCCGGTCTTTGAACGCTGCCAGCTCCTCCTCCTCCTCTGGGCCTCCGCTCCACCGACGTAACACGACGAGCTAACCGGACAAACTGGTTGGGGCGGGAAAGCCCTCCACACGGAGGAGGTGAGCTGTCAGCCCAGACGGCGAGCGCGAAGAGGAGCCCTATAGCGTTCGTTTGAAAAAACTAAATGCGGCCATACATACCTCTAGCCACATAAATCGCGGTCTCCAGAAATGTCTGCGGGGCTACATTTTCAGAATGAGCTTGGGTTGAAAATATATTATATTTAAGTAAGGCTACTACTTGGCCTGGATTCATCTCCCGATTATTCCACTCAGGGTTTGCAGCTTTAAAGTCATTGATTAAGAAATGTAGCCTACTTCTTGATATCAGTCAGTGCTTTCTTAATATATTTTCTTTATTAAATTTTGTAATTCATGTGAAGTACAGCATGTACTATCTAAGTACACCCTTCACAGATCAATATTTTAAACTAATATTTTCTATAGAATGCTTTATAATGTTTGTGCATATACATTAGATTATTGGAGCTAATCTAACAAAATATACTGAAGATCACAGTCCAAAAATTACATCCAAATTAATAAATTGTGTTAAAATATTAGGTAAAATTTAATAAACAGGAAAAAAAAATTTTAAACATTAAAAAATTTGTTGAAAAGGAGTAGTTTGTATTTGTTTTTTTTTTAGAAATAACTTATTTTAATTTAAATGTATATATTGTTCTATTCTAAAAAATGTTTGTTGTGTATATATATTTACTATTAAGTGACTATAAAGTTTTAATCATTATTAAGAGGTTAAATTAAATAAAATGGCAGCAAATTACGCCAGGCGAATATTAACATGACTTTGATTAAGCTTGAACCTGACTTAGCCTCAGAGTTAACCTGCCCCGGACCAGGTTAGTTTCCCAGCGTAAGTTGCCACAGTAACTGAGTTTAAACTATAGTAAATTTGATTTATGAAACAGAATACCAAAATAAGCCTGGCTTTTACTCTAAGTTTATGGAACAGCACCCTGTTCTGTTGGAAAGTAATCTTAAACGTTGCGCTATACAAAGAGGAAAATGTAAATAACCTGACTTTCAAGAGAGGATGGGGATGCCATTGTGATAGGCAGGGTGCCGCTAATACAATAGTAGGGGAAACACTGTGTTCACTCGGATTCTGATGGTGTTTGTTTGCCTTTTTGGTGCGGTTCATTTGGGGAGATGTGAAAGTGGCAATCATACTTGGGTGCACACATTAAATGTGGACCAAACTAATGTAGAAAGAGGTGGTCTCGATACACTTTCAGAAGAACCCTGGGGCAGTTTGAAAATGTGAATGCAAAAAAAAATACTATAGGAATTACTGTAAAAATTTCTGAAACATTTGAAAAAGAAAACAGTTCACTGGAGGGCGAATAATTTTAATTTCAGCTGTATGTAAAACAGAGTACAGCATATAGCATGATCCAGATTAGGCTTTCCATTAATATGCCATCGTTCAAAAAGTTTGAAAGAGGAGCATGACTGAGACAGCTGCGTGCATTTGTACCCATCTGCTGCCAGAAATTCATGGCGGTCATTAATATAAATAGAAAGTAAGTCACATTTTAGGGAGAAAAATTTCAGCATTGGTGTCCATCTCTCTCTGTCTGACAAAGGAGGTCTGTGCATCGCTCAGTCCATGAAGATCCCAAGAGAGCCCAAACCAGGGGAGTTTGACAAGATCATTAAGAGACTAATGGAGACCCCCAACGCGCGAGGAGTCATCATCTTCGCCCACGAGGATGACATTAAGTAAGTCAATGATATGCTTAATGTATGTTTGATCACCAAGAACTTATAGGACTTTCCTGGGTTAAATACAGCTAGTTTTGTATGCGCTGACACGCTTTTGACTGATAAACTTGACAGACATTTTTATTTAATTTAATTTAATTTTAATTTATTTAATTTAATTTAATTGTATTATTATTTTATTATTTTTTATTTTATTCCTCTGTGGCAACCCCTAATAAATAAGACACTAAGCTGAATGAAAATGAATGAATGAATGAATGAATGAATGAATGAATGAATGAATGAATGAATGAACCTCATTCATTCATTCATTCATTCATTTTCTTTTCAGCCTAGTCCCTTTATTAATCTGGGGTCACCACAGCGGAATGAACCGCCAACTTATCGAGCATATGTTTTAAGCAGCGGATGACCTTCAAGCTGCAACTCATCACTGGGAAACACCCATACATTCTTGTTCACACACATACACTAGGGATAATTTAGCTTACCCAATTCACCTGTTTTTGGCCTTGTGGGGGAAGCCGGAGCACCAGGAGGAAACACATGCAAACATGGTGAGAACATGCAAACTCCACTCAGAAATGCCATCTGACCAGCTCGAAGGCTCGAACCAGCGACCTCCTTGCTGTGAGGCAAGAGCGCTACCCACAGCACAACCACATGGTCATGAGTCAATGTTTTATATTATATTTTATTCCAATTATTTTCCTTTTATTTATATTTTTATTTTATATAATTTTATTTTACTTTATTTTATTCCATATATTTTATTTGTTATTTAATATTTTATTCTATATATTTTTATTTTAATCCACATATTTTAATTTAATTAAATTTTATTTTTTTATATTTTATTCCATATATTTTTGTTTTTATTTGTTTTATTCCACATTCATTCATTCATTCATTCATTTGCTTGTCGGCTTAGTCCCTTTATTAATCTGGGGTCCCATTATTAATCCACAGCGGAATGAACCGCTAACTTATCCAGCAAGTTTTTTTACGCAGTGGATGCCTTTCCAGCCGCAACCCATCTCTGGGAAACATCCACACACACATTCACACACACACACTCATACCAGATGTTTTTGGACTTATGGGGGAAACCGGAGCACCCGGTGGAAACCCACACCAACACGGGGAGAACATGCAAACTCCACATAGAAATGCCAACTGACTCAGCCAAGGCTCGAACCAGCAACCGTCTTGCTGTGAGGCGACATTGCTACTCACTGCGCCACCCTGCTGCCCCATTTTGTTATTTACCATAATTTAATTTGTTCAATTAAATTTTACTTTTATTTTGTAAATTAATTTAATTTTAATTAAATTTTATTTTCTTTCATTTTTTCTTTTCGGCTTAGTCCCTTTATTAATCTGAGATTGCCGAAGGGAAATGAACCGCCAACTTATCCAGCATATGTTTATGCAGCAATTACCCTTCCAGCTGCAACTCATCACCGGGAAACATCCGCACACACTCAGTCACACACATACACTACGGACAATTTAGCCTACCTAATTCACCTGTACCGCATGTCTTTTGACTGTGAAGAAAACCAGAGCACCTGGAGGAAACCCACGCAAACGAGGGGAGAACATGCAAACTCCACAGAGAAATGCCAACTGATCCAACCGAGGCTCGAACCAGATCTTTTTGCTGTGAGGCGACAGCACTACCTACTGCGCCACAGCGTTGCCTTTATTTTTATTTTATTTTATTTTATTTTATTTTATTTTATTTTATTTTATTTTATTTTGTTTTGTTTTATTTTATTTTATTTTGTTTTATTTTATTTTATTTTATTTTATTTTAAAACATTGAAAAAGTGTCAGAAAAGTACCAAGTGCTGTTTTTGATTTAATGTTCACTTGTTCATTAATCTAATTTATCCATGTGCTTTACATTTCTGCTTTTAAAAGTTTCCTGTAACAGAGTTTGCCTGTTAAAATTGCCTGTGCAAAATTGCTTATTAATTTTTATTTATTATTATTATTTTTACAATGAAAGAATGTCAGCATGAAGCGATATCAGCAACCCACTGCACTTTTCATGCTTTGACAAGATGTTTGAGGAAAGGCGTGAACATATTTAAGAACTTGACGATGTCAGCTGAAAGAGTTTTTATTAAGCACAAACACGTCAAACTTTTTTTTCCCTCTAGAATAACATGCAATGCAGATTTGTGCGCACTACAGCAATGAAGGACTGTTAAATATGTCATATTGTAATGTTGCGTTTTTATATGTACAATCTGGCAATTTGGTCTTTAACAGATGCATAATGGGGCAGTGTTTTTTTCCGTCATTTTTTTTAATGATTCTGTCTGGAACAAACTGTTCGTTCCATCTGTCGCCGTAGAGCAGACTAATGTTGTCACTGATTTGATAATGGCTGACTTGTAACAGGGGCACATGTGGATTATTTGATATGATTGAACTAACTTCTAGTATTTGCGACATTTTAGGGGAGATTTGTAAATTAAGCCAGATATTAAACGCAAAGTACACGCAATTAGAGGAAGCGTCCTTTGATGTGGCGATAGGACTTTTGATATGCAATGCATCACACATGCTTCTGTATGCATGTAAATGGAGTTGGCTGCTGACCAACCAACTAGAGGGAACAATGGCCACAGTCTCAGGCCAAAAATATACTCGGCACAATTACACAAGCGCCGCATGATTTGCCAGTGCATTATTAACTGAGTGCTATTAACCTTTTGCCATTAAACCAAATGTAATTATTCAGGTAGATAGCTATTTCAAAAAGTTTAGTTTAACAAACTTGCTCAGTGAATTCTCTTTAGACTAGGGCTGCACAAAATTGGAAGACAGTTTCACAAGGTTGTGTGAATAGCTCTATTTGATGGTTTTCTTGGGATTTAACAGTATTCAGGTAGAGAAATTGAATAATCACAATGCAAACAAATGCTTTTCTTACTTTGCTTTGTGTAATTTCTAGTCCAAATATCGTTAAAAAAACTCAGATGAAATAAAATAATGTTTTGTTTTCACCTTCATAATTAATTAGACAAAATTAAGGGCTCTTTTTTAACAGGTCTAAAGCGCATGGCGCAAAAGCATTAAGGATATTAAAATAGCTCTTTTGCTATTTTAAGGACAGAAAATTACGGTATAACATGGTCTAACATTGTTGTGCTTATTCTCTTAATGAGTTATGGGTGTTTTGAACATAACAGCCATTAAACCAATCAGAGCTTCATCTCCCATTCCCTTTAAGAGTCAGTTGCATCACTCCATGATGCATTTGCTATTTACATGGTGGACTTAGGGCTCTATTTTGACGATCCATGCGCAAAGTGCAAAGCGCAGGGCGCAAATGCATTAAGCTTGTCGGAATCCACTTTTGCTAACTTAAGGACGGAAAGATCTACTTTGCACCGTGGCGCATCGTCTACCAGGGTTCAACTTATTCTCTTAATGAGTTTTAGCTGTGGGGGTGAAGCAGTGGCGCAGTAGGTAGTGCTGTTGCCTCACAGCAAGAAGGTCGCTGGGTCGCTGGTTTGAACCTCGACTCAGTTGGCGTTTCTGTATGGAGTTTGCATGTTCTCCCAGTGTTCACGTGGGTTTCCTTCGGGTGCTCCGGTTTCCCCCAGAGTCATGCAGTACAGGTGAATTGGATAGGCTTAATTGTCCGTAGTGTGTGTGTGTGTGTGTGAATGTTTCCCTGAAATGGGTTGTCTCATCTCCCATTCCCTTTAAGAGTCAGTTGCGTTGCGCCATAGTGCATTTGCTATTTACATGACGGACTTTGTAAGTGGGAAAAATTGAACGATTCACTAGCAAGAAAACAGTTAAACAGAGCATCTACATCGCAAGAATGAGAGACGAGTCTCCTCATTATTTACTTTCGCTTTCACTCTCGTGGATAAGACAACATGCTGTACACACAGACATCCATTAGCCTATAAATAATTAATTTCTTTGGTAAGTGCAAAGATTTGTTTCAAAATTATTTTTAAATTCACTTCTAATTTCCAGCAAACAAATAAATGAACAATAATAACGAAGTGTGTTCAAAAAACTGAGTTATATCCAAACACACATGCTATGCCCCATATGGTCTAAAACCTGACAGGTGGGCAAATCAAAGATGAGGCTTTTTAATAAACAAATATCAATATGCATATAATAAATAATTCTGCTAATAATAATATTATACAATAAACTGAAAAGGCCTCTCGAGATGAAGAAGGCATGAAAGTATGGTTTTTATATTTATGTAGGCTAGAAAATAATCATTTTTGCAATATTTTAATCATTTATATATATATATATATATATATATATATATATATATATATATATACAGGTGAACAAATATAAACTTGTTTTAATAAAACAAAAATAAAAATGTATATAATGAATAATACTGCTAGTAATAATAACATTATACAAAAGCAAGTTGTCGTGAATGCACTGAAAAAAGCTGATGAAGGCAAAGAGGCGATGTTTTTATATTTATGTAGTAAATAATAAGTTGTGTAATAATATTTTAATCCTTTAATTCTTGTTCGTTTAAGATATTTGCGTATTGCTGTACATCCTGTGTATTAAGCAATGTGTAAGCGAGGCGCACACTTAAACACTGCCGTCTGCTGGTCTATTGCACAGTCTATTTTAGTTCCTCAAAATATAATTTTCCTTTGGCTTAGTCCCTATTTATTTGGGGTCACCACAGTGGAATGAACACCATCTATTCCAGCATATGTTTTTTTGCAGCAGATGCCCTCTCGCACGTCATGATTTTGCCAAGTACGTTGCAATCCTGGATTATCATCTATTTTAATTCTGGAATATCATTATTGTTGGAAAATGTAATCCATATGTAACCCTTATCTATGTGTTATTTTTACAGTATTTGCTATTTTCTTATTAGGACCAGATGTCAGAAGATTTTAATTCGCTCGCAAGAGTGTATAGAAATAACAACCAGTTTTAGATAGATAAGTCTGACTCAAAGATAAAGT